AAGGAGGCTGGCTTGGGAAAGAGGCACGTACAAACAAGTTTTCTGGAGATGTCAGTCGTTCTATCGGTTGATACGGCAATCAACCTAGCTGATTTCACACGTTATGCCAGCCACGCACCACTTCCGGAGGTGGGCGGTCCTGGATTGACCAGGCGGCCCTGGATTGAAACCGAACGCCCCGGGGCCTTAACGGACGTTTTTCAAGGTGGGAAGTTGCTGCAATGTGTGCAGCTACCCACATACAACCTCCAGGCACGGGAACTTCTCTAGCGTGCCTGAGCCCGACCTTTGCCCTTTTCTCGTCGTCAAAAAAATGTTTTTCGTTCTCGCGTACTGTCCTAGTCTCCGGAGTCGCAAACTATGGACGCGGCCTTCAAACAAGGCTGAGATATTTCGAAATTTCACCACAATTTTACCAGCAAAAACTACAGTTTTTAAAGACTCTTATTTCAAACAAGAAGTTTATCAAAATTGTTCGATATTTACAAAGTCGCACAAGGCAGTTAAAAGGAACCACATTGAATGTTATACAAAACACAATTGCAGTACACAAAGCAATGCTACATGTCGCAGTCACAGCTTGTCGTGTGCTCCTGCGTTCAAGATTTCTGCAATGGACGATTCAAGTTACTTGCAGTGAGTTATGTGGAAAATACAGTGCGTACCAAAAGTATGTGGACACCCTGGAATCGATTCTCAGGGTCAGCTAAAGGCTTTTATGTCATGAAACCTTCACCATTCAACTCCTAGTGGTCGATAACCTACAATGATATTTTCGGCAAAAGATTTCGTTCTAACTTAGCGAACTATTTTTCATGGAAATTTTTTCTTTGTATCAAAATTATGTGGACACCCTGAGGCAGATGAAGTTTTTGCATCGATTTCCTAACCTATTTTTACTTCTCCTTTCGTTACTTATTCTGGCATCATTCCTCTTCACGGCAAGCGTTTTTCTGAAGAAGACCAAGCACAGATGGGATCCTCATGCTTCTGAACCTTCCTATTGCGAAATCGCACGTCAACCTGGTCGTGCGTCTTCGTATGTTGGAAAGAGATCCAGAATCCTGATGCTAAGCTCTCGATAATGACTAAGGGTCGTCCACGATCGTTACATATTCAAAACAACACAAGAATAGCTCGTGATGTGTCAAAATTTCTTTCATCCGCTATTTACGTTCGCGTTAAATGACTTTCCCGGTCTTAAAAATGACCAATTAGCGTCCCATTCCATCGAATGAGCGCATGGTGCAAGAAAATGAAGGAGGCTTTGTTGAATTGGCGACCTTAGCACAAGTGGTAAGGTTGAATTTTTAATCAATTAACTGAAAAAATTATGGACGAACGCGGATGCCCCCAGCGCTTTCGTGGAAATGGTAAACTTACCAAGAAAGACTTTCGAGGATATTTCTGGCTCAAGCACCTTTGAGGCGAGAGGAGCTCACTTTTGGCTATTATGGGTAGGCGTCGTTGTATTTGGAGAGGACTTTTAGTGGTGACCGGGAGTACTGAACGAGACTTTTCGGAAAGGTTGCGTCAGTAGTCGGGGGGGATGGTTCAAAGAAGAGGAAAATTGGGTTTGGCTGGAAGTGTATATGGAATTGGGATAAATAAAGGATAAAGCATTTGCCGTTGATCAAATCCCTTTTGGGATGCGGCACGCATTCTACTTCCATTTGTACATTCGCAGTGGCATTTGAATGCGATGTGGCCTATACAATGACTTGCGGGGGCCAGCCGATGTTCAAGTCAGTGTTTTTATCCTCCCAGACAAGTCTGGTACCAATTAACCGACCCCGGAGGGATGGAAGGCTTGGTTGGCCCGGGCGACTCACGACCCAGGATTTGATCCCGGACCGCTCGCGTGGTGAGCGCGCCACTTGTCACTACACCACTTCCGCCCATGTGGAGTATAGTGAGCTTGGTCCGGTAACCTTTTCCGAAGTCGCGATAATATTGTGTTTTGCAGCGAGCCCCAGAAGAGGTCCCCCCTGGAATATTTCCAATTCGGAATGTGAACGAACCCCGATTTCATTGGTAGGACGGCCAGCGTATTCCTCAGAGTCATTCTTATTGAGAGAGGTACTGCGGTTGGCGGTCTCTACGTCGCTGAAGAAAGAGTTATATCATCAACACGTTGGTGAAATTGGCTGGTTGGGAACAGATCAACAAGACAGGAAGCGAGAGCCTGGTTCAGAGCATGACAAGCAGTTGTCTCAACCCACCAGAAGCTTTGGTAGACCTACCGATTGGGGATTTTTGAAGGATAGTTGCTGTTCTTGCTATTAGTCGTCGACTGTTGTTACAGAGATACGTATACAAGGTTTTTCTTTAATAATAAAATTGAAGTGCATGAATTGGTGAGAAATGAGAGATCCTAAAGTTTTCGCATACGAGAAATTGAATGGTGACGGTCGCATGGTGCAGAACTCAACAATTTTTCAAAGAATGAAAAGTTTTAGGGTGTCCACATACTTCTGGTACGCACTGTATTATTACCAAAGACAACAGTTAGGAAAAGTAATAGGTCGCAACATAAGTTCTTGCGCTTTTTTTTTCCAAAATCTGGCAAATGGCTGCACATCAACCTGGGCGAAAAATTCTGAAACCATATATAGGAATCATCATATTCCTTCTATTCTTCAAGTCACACGCTCAATCCTTCTGAAGCTTGAAAATGCAGGTAAGTTGCAGATGTTCGCCAATGCTTCTTTACCGAGGTTTCGTCTGGGACGACAGCGAGTGAAGCCTTCGGAATTATAGCGCCTCAAGAAGTTGAAGAAGGGTAAGTGAGAGACTGCTAGCAGCCAAATCAATGCCTGATGATGCACATGCGAAGTATGAACGCAGAAGCTTAACGTGGGGATTCGCCGGGCGATGAGGGGAGTTTGCTCCCTGCTGAAGATTCGGTCAGGAGAATGGCGGGGATATCGCTGACCGATGCTGACTGCCGGTTTAATTAGAGTGGCATTTTTTACTTCTCACGCGGCACGAACGACCTAAGAACGGCTTTTAGCGTTCGGATGGGACGTATGCTGAATGTATGGGGAGGGGATGGAGTCCCGACGCGTGGACGACCTGGAACTGGTTTTGGACCGCCAAAGTTGGTACTTTACCTAGACTGAGGTCTTAAGAGCGGAGGGTCGTGGTCTCTCAAGGCTTTAGTCTTGGGGTAAGCAAACTAGATGCTTACTGGGCGGAGATGCTGGGCCGCATGCACCAATGCGTCAGTACTTCATATTACTAGGGCACCGTTTTATGAAAGTATACCGTTAGACGTGGGGACCCAATCCCTCCCAAATTCGGATTACGGTCCTAGCCGAAACGCCTAAAGGTCTGGTTTGCTTACCTCGCACGAAACGAGGTTGAAACTCGGGATCGTGCGCCGTGCACACCAACAAGGCCAATCATCCCTTCGGAATCATTTGATCGGTATAGGACATGTTTGTAAGGTTGAAAGAGATTAGGAGTAACCAGTGTGTAGAAATGAGGCTCGAGTGTCTGGAGTTGCTGTTATTGCATACCGTTTCTATGACATGACGATGGCTAACGGAAGCGAATATGTGACCGATCCCGAAAATCTTGAAGAAAACCGTGGAATTTATTCCTTTTTCAATTTATGTAAACATTTTATTTATTACCTTTTTTATTTAGTAAAATTCAGAAAAAGTTGGAACACACAATGTGAGGCCCAAAGTTAAGCAAGGTGTAAGGATCACCTAGACCGAAGTAGTTTCTACATTGTATGCCTCAAGGATCTCTTACGGGGGAACATTAGGGTACATTTTGCTTTCCTCAGAGGCCATTCGAATGTATGAGAGCTCTAGGGTGAGGAAAAAGTTCCGAATGAAATTTTCTCTTCCCAGTTTTTCTAGATTTTTCTCAGTTGTTACGAGAAACATGAACGGTTCTCCAGGCTTCACATGGCCGCGTACATACACTTTTGTCTGCGTTGTGAGGCCGACAATGGCTTCAGTAGACTGTGGCCATATGTGAGCTGTAGTTTTTTTTGTTTACCAATCTTAGTAAAGCCAAATTCTGAACTGTACCGTAACATCTGCATGCTAATTCGCAGACGTTTTCGTAAAGCCATTCCCGGTTAAAAAAAGGTTGATATCAGGCGTTTTTAGGTAGTTTTCGTTCGAGATGACCTCGTTCTGATATTCTGGGGGACTGTCATCACAAGAAGGCTAACAATGCTTGGAAGGGAAGCTCAATTGTAGTACGTCTGCGAATTCTCGGACGCCAATTGGGTGCCGTCAGAACCATCTGCCAATTCGTAGCAGCTGTTCGCCGGCGATACCGCGAACAGGAGGGCCGTTCGGCACGGCGATTAAGTCTACTTGACATTGAACTGGTTCTTCAAACAACGATTTGATGGTTTCGCCTGGGCACTCTCTCGCTCAAACAGGCGGCTAATTACTTGATGTGTTGATTTGACGATACGACGTAATTGGCGTTCCGAGTCTTACTCCCTCAAATGCTGCTTAGTGCTCCACCTTCTGCATGGGGTTTGCTGACTGAGCAGGGACGTCCCTCAATGTCGTGCTCGTGGCCCTTTCACGGAGAGAACGTTAGGGGAAAGTTCAGGGGAGTCACGTATCCGGCGAGAGGCAGAGAAGCAGGAGGGGTTCAAACGTCAGCGGGATCGAGTTGTAGCGCGATTGCAAATTTTCGCGTCAGGTGAATGAATGGTCTGTAGTATGTTAATATACGAATGTCACCATTCACGTTTGGCGATCTGCGGCTGCCTTCGCGACAGGGCTCCTGTCAGGTACCCCTGGGCTTCTACTGTGTGATAGTCTTTACAGGTATCACACGAACTGCGTGACTTTGGACAAAGTATCGTGTGTCAGTATATGGACACATGCGCTCTGCTCGCCTCGCTCGCGAGAAGGAATCTCAAGGGTGCAGCAGCATACTGTGTGCCAATGATGGCTGTCTTCTGCATGCCAGTCATAAGGCAACAATGACTATTCTGCGGCAGACTACCTCAAAGGAGAAGGCTATCAACGAAAGGAAAGATTCAACTCGTTGTCGAGATAGTGTTCTTTGAGCTATTACCTGTTAGATTTACCGGGATCGCTTTGGCGTATGCTTTTCAAGTGCAGCAGCTGGACGACGCCATTCACAGGCATCTCTCGGGAAGTGACTATGTGTGCATTCTTCATGGTGATGCCCATCCTAAGTTGCGAGGTTATCTCGTCAGAAAACTGTTGCAAGGAAATGCAACTTTCTCTGCTTATTGGTCAAATCTACCCTCAGCTAATTACCATCTGCTTCATTCAATTAAAGAACATCCTCGCCAGAAAAAAAATTCAGTGACTGTCCGGTGTTCCGCTTTCAGAAAAAGATCTTTCCGTGGAGGAAGCTCACAAGCGTCGAAGCTCGAAACTGAGATTGCCGAAATTTTTGAGATCGGGATCGAAAAGCTATCTATGCGTTGTACATATGTTATTGATTCTGATAGGAGCCATCGCATATTGAATTTCTTGCAATAAAAATATGAGCTTCTGAAGTGAATATTGAATTTTATTTCGGACTTTTTCCTCAGCCTGATATAATAATCATATTTTGTTAAGATGACAGGTCTACTATTTGCAAGTTTCGAAAACCTACCAATGTAACAGTACTTTGTGACCGCACCATGAAATCATCATGCGTTTTTTTTTCTGAAGGGTTTGCGGTACCCGACAGGAGGCCCGTCGCGCGGCAAAAGGCAGAGTCAGCGGACGAGTCGCAGCGCGTGCTGTGCGATGTAGGACGTGCAATGGTACATTCTATTTAACTTGACGCGAAAACTACAGTACGCGCTGCGACTCGTCCGCTGACACTGCCTTCTTGCCGCGCGACGGGCCTCCTGTCGGGTACCCTATAGGCTTTAGTAAGGAGCTCAAAGGGGTCGATGACAGGTTCGCTTTTGACTCTGTATTTGCTGAACTAATATTCTGTACCACGTGGTACCACGTAATTAATTCGGAATGGAAAGAATAGTTTCAGCCGAACGTATACGAATTTCGTCCGCATGATCGCGGCGAAATGGATTCTTCAAATGCCGCAGTGATTATGATGGATGAAGGGCGGTGCGGTTTCAATGACGTCATTGAATGTCGTCGGTGTAAAGGGGTTGAGATCTAGCCACATCCTGCTCGCATAGGGATCTAATCTACCAATGATATTTAATAATGTCATCGAAACCCCACCACACTTCAGCCAAAGTGATCACTTTCCTCGAAGCAACAATCCTAGATCAAATTGGTGGGTCGGTAGATGATGAAATTGTTCATGGGGGGGGGGTGACTGAAATGAGCAAGCAAGCCAAGGTAAACACGGACAAAGCCTTTGAACGAGGACTTCTTCTCTTCCTACCTGAAATGAGGGGAGGCGGTCCGGATGAGTTGTTCGCTTTTCACTAGACGGCTCCACTAACCCGCGCTTTATTAGCCGCTATTGGTTTCCTATCAACGCTGTGTAGATATTGTAGGGTAGTGCTGCGAGTGCATGCTGCCCACATAGCTTCTATTAGCCGAGATAACTCACTTTGTCATTACTCACTGGTTATACTTGACACTTTATTTGGCCCAAGCGCCACTCAGCGTCATTCGACACGGCGACACGGCCAACTGTGGATACGAGCTCGCTTCTCTATCCTATCTACAAACACCCTTACCTTTGACGACATGCGAATTGGTCGACCGTGGAGGACGTGCTCGTGGGACATGCCTCTTTTGGGCGCGCAAAATGGGCAAATCTGTCTTAAAAGCAATGTTTTTCCTATCAAAAATTTTGGACGGATGACAATAAACAAAATGCAGACTGCAGTCTTAAGCGTTAATGATTTGTATTTGTGTGGACGAAGTGTGGGAAATGGAAGAGATCTCGGAAGATTTCATAGAAATGGCGTTTGAAACTCTAAAAGTTACAGTAGAATTTTGATATAGTTCAAACTCCTCCTTGTGTCTTAAGACTGTGAAAAGACGTAGAGGTCCTGATCTGTAATTCACCTTAAGCTTAATAATGTAAAACACTAGTTAATACATCGCCGAGCGAAGTGCCATATCCTAAAATTTCATATAAATTAGCTAGTAACAAACATTTCTGCAAAATATGCTAAACATAGGCGTAACGGAGCTTGCTTATAATTACTGATATGTTGAAAATGTTTTAAATGGGTAAGAAAGAAAATTTCAGGGTGGCACCCACCATTGGGTGCCATTGTCCCACGCGACGGTCATAGTGGCACCCACCGGTGGGTGCCATTGTCGCCAAAGGGTTAAGCGAGTGCAAGATTCACAAAAAGCTCACCAAATTATTCTTTAATAAATACCCTGTTGTTGATTGCATTGAGGTGTTTTTGGCTTTCAGGACAAGATCTTTCCGTAGCGGCGGCTCACAAGCACTGGAGACAAGCCCATCCACAGCAAAAAGGTAAACTAATTTTCTGGAATTATCTAGCTCAATCTGTTCCGCGTCCAGACATACCATAAAATGCCACTACTGTTTAGTATGGGTTTCGACCGTATTTGTTTGACCGCTATTGGAGGGGGGAGCCGCGCCGTATAGTGGCTGTACCTTCATACAGTGCTCCACACAAGGAGCAATGATCGTCCGACTGCGCGGGCGGACATGCTGGCAGGACCAGCAAGATTTGATAGCTGTTTCTTGACGCAATTCTCAAGATGGTTGCCGGCGATTGAATCAAATTTCTGGTAACATTCGACTTCGCTAGGTTTCATTTTCCTCACTTGAAGGAATCGGCCCCGGATATTCTTGCATTCTCGCCAGCAATTTTCTAGCGCATAGAGACAACGGATGGTCGATACAAACGCAAGAGATTCAGTGTTTCCAAAGGGAACAACCCTACGAAACCACCCCTATGGACGGTCGAGGCGTAGGATCGGGCGGAACGAGGAAGCGCATGGAAAGAAGTGCGCCTTGTGGTGGCTATAAGGGGACGCACTCAAAGAATTGGGTTAAAAAGTTGGGATCTAAGAAAAAGAGATGAAACGATCTACAGAATGGGATGCAGTAGAAAAGAGTAATGTTATGTTTGCCATAGAGGCCAAAAAGAGTTCCTAGTAAAGGCACTCTGGAACCTAAGCGAGAATGTTCCGCGTTTCGCCAACATTGTGGAAGATTTACGGGGCGGGAATCGGACGTATGACAGTCCGTCGGGGTTTTCGAATTGTTAACGAAAGGAAAGACAATTTTTCGGTCTTTTCCTTCTTGTGAGAAAGATGGGCCTGAAGCCAGTGATTTATGGGTGAGATAGAGACCTTCGAACATCAGGTATCTGTCATGGTGACACTTCCTCCTTCAGAAGGATCACTATCCGAGCACTTAGCACATCGAAAAAATTGTTACTAGTTCTTCTAGAAATGGACATTTCACTTTTTTCTCAATTTTCAGTAAAGAATCCTAACCAATCTAAACATGGTAAAACTAACGATGACGAGAACAAACGAGACTTGTGAGTCGAGTTTCTATATAGTGAAATATGTCTTTTAGAAGTGATGCAGTGACAGCACTCTTGCAAAGGTCAAAGGTCAATAGGGAGGTGCCTTTTTCTTTCACTAAGACCTCTCTTTCTTGCGCGACTTCTCGTCGACTGTGAGATCTTTGGTGTTATTAGTCAAGTGGGCGGAACATCTGTGCAATTGGGGATGGAAAGTTCACGAACCTATGCGATCACCTTAGTGGAAGGGATGGAGGGGTCGCTGCGGTATTCAAGGCCAGGGAGATGCCATGGTTTTGCTAGGAGGTCAGCACCGTTAGCAAAGTATGTAGAGAAATGCAACATAACAACTGTCGGGGCAGAAATCGCATCAAGGGTAGGTTCCGGGATCCGTGAGTGAGCGTGTCGGGTCCATACCTTTACGGGTCGTACCAAGCTCCGAAGCACAAAATGGAGTATCCGGCAGGAGGCCCGTCGCGCAGCGCGAAAGCTTAAACGCTAGTTAGGGGACGAGTCGCAGCGCGTACTGTAGCGATTTGGCGTCAATTTGAATAGAATGTACAATAGTACGTCCCACTTGCCACGCTGCCGACTCGACTCTGACACTTTTGCGTCCCCTCTCGCCGTGCCGCGGGCCTCTTGTCGGGTATGAGGTTAAGAGCATTATTCGTTCAGACTTGCAACCACCCACGCGATTTATGTGGAAATTACCTTGCTCTCTCATGTGTTTTGTCTTTTAGTATGGTCGCTCTTCTCTCTATCGTATCACATCCGACCGGAGTGGCTTTAGGCCTTGGTTTTCGCGTTCTCAATGTTTTTTGCTTTATTTTTCACTTTCAGCCCATTGTTTACCTCTACCTTCGTTAGCGAGCGCTCTTGTACATGAGTTTTAGTCCTGGGTTAGCCTATGATTAAACTCGATGGTTAGATTTATTGCTGTTTCCTGTTTTCAAGAGCGTAGTGTTGCACTCGCACTGGCCCTTCTAAAATATGCCTTAAACAAAGTGAGAACTCATCACTGCTCTGTTAAAGCTCAGTTTCCAAAGACGCAATTGCTTAATTAGCGAAGTCTCTGTGGTCCTCCGTAACTTCAGAAGCGAATCGACAACCTTACTTTCTGGGGGCCGAATCGGACCTCGAATGACCAAGCCTTATTTTGTCGCCGCGTCCGTTTCGTGACCCTACGATCAGTGATGATGTAGAGAAGCATAATAACTAGAATGAATTACTATGAAAAATTATCAAATTATTTTTGGCAAAACAGAACAGTTCGCCACAGCTCGAAATTGAACTCAGACCACCTGCCTACCGTACAAGAGTGCTAGTGCTGTCCTCATACAAGTTTGAGCAAAAAACATTAATATTACTTCACCTAGTCATTGTTACTGAAATTGGACTTTTTTCATGAAATCGTCTTCATTACAGCATCATCTTCCTTATACTCTGCGTTGTGGCAATCCTACTGATGCTGGCTATCATTCCCCTACTGATAATCTGCCTTGTGTGCATGGCAAGGAAACGGAAGAGCAAGAACGGGAGCGCTTCAAGCAGAAGGGGTGGACCTGCGAAAAGCGGAAGAAGCACAAAGAGCAAAAGCGGAAAACCCACAAAAAGCAAGAGCAAGAGCATGAGTAAGAGCAAGAAATCCAGCAAGAGTCTGAAAAGCAAAAGTGGCAAAAGCGGTAAAAGCCGAACATCGAAGAGAGCTGGCGGTAAAGGCGGAAACAGCAGTATGGGAAAAGCTAACAGAAGACCAGGGAAAAAAGGAAAGAAATAGACGATTCTTAGCCTACCGAACACTTA